TCTTGGATAAGAGATGCCAGTACCTGCCCTTCCAGGACTGGTCTGTCAAGTGCAAGAGGATGGTGGACACTGGCATCCTCGTCCTCGTCCAGCTGGGCAAGCAAGTGCTGGTGAGGCAGGGGAAGCCCCCAGGGTTGGGTTTTCCCATGGTTTGGTGTGTCTTGGGGGCTTGCAGAGCAAAGGATGCTCCTGGAGCCTGGGACAAACCGTCTGAAGGACAAGGTGGAGAGGGGAACGGCCTGGGGTGGGGGCAGGGGGTGGGTGTGATGGAGGGGATGCAGCCTCAAGCCCCCACCCCACCCCTCTGCTCCCCCAGTCGGACCCAAAAGTGGTGTGTGGGACCTTCAAGTTGTGCCAGCCCCGGGACAGACCCACAGGGACCTTGAAGTATCAGCAGCCACCACCAGGACCCAGCCAGGACCTTGCTGACCTCATCGCCCCCTTCATGGCTAACGTGCCCCTCCTGCTCCACCCCCAGGATCTGCCCCACGGCAAGGCCCAGGTACCGTGGCACAGGCGAGAACGGTGTTAATCATGGAATCCTGAATTGTTTGGGTCGGAGGGAACCTTAGGGATCATCTCGTTCCAAACCCCTGCCGTGGACAGGGAGCGTGTCCAGGTTGCTCCAAGCCCCATCCAAGCTGGCCTCGGACGCTCCCAGGGATGGTGCAGCCACAGCTTCTCTGGACAATCTGTGCTAACGCTGCTCAGGGATGAGAATCCCCTTAAAAGCATCACCTACTTAACAACAATTAGAGAAAGCCCCTAAAATTTCTGCGGAGCTGAAATGACTTCTGGCTGGTGGTGTCAGCAATATTTCAGGATGCAGGAGGGAACTGAGAGATGCCAGATTGGAGATGTCAGAGTGCTGCCCCAGATTGCAGCCAGTATCTAAATCCCAGCCCTGCAAATTCAGGTTGGGGAGATGGGGGGCGGAATTGGGGTTTTATTTCTCGGGGTACCAACGTGTCCCTGCCCTTGCTGTCCTGCAGGAGACGGAAGAAGTGTGTGGGGACTGCCTGCAGCTGGTGACAGCCGTGCAGCAGGAGCTGGGGACCAACACTGCCTTCACCTGGGCGCTGGTGGGCCACGCCAAGCGGGTGTGCGAGACCCTGACACCCGACCTGGCGCAGAGGGTGAGGCAGCCAGCAGGGAAGGGGCCTTAAAGACATTCTCTCTCCACCCCCCCCCTCCACGGGCAGGGACCCCTTCCACCAGACCAGGTTGCTCCAAAGTGCTCTGGGACACTTCCAGGGATGGGCTCCCTTCTCCTCCTGGATGGGAGCATCTCTTGGGGACGCCTGCCCAGGGAGGGGTGTGCGCTGTCGGGCCCTGACGCTGTGTCTCCCTCCCGCAGTGCAAGCGCTCCCTGGCCGAGTACACGGACACGGCTGCCCAGCTGCTGCGCTACGTGGTAAGAGCCTGAGGGCTCCCCGGGACTGCCAGGGGTCACTGGGTGCCAGCTGGGGGCCTCTCAGCAAATGCTCCCTTTTTTTATTTTTAGTTAAACTCACTGCCTAATATTCCTACAAAATATTAAATCCCCCCCCCTCCCTCTGCCTTGCAACAGCTGCAATTATATACATATATATTATTTTTTTTTTCATTTTCTCTTGCCATTTTCTGGCCCCTCCACCGGTAGCAGGCTGAGGTAAGTGAGATCCATGCCCCGATGCGCTGAAATTCCCCTCCCTGGGGCCAAAGCCCCCTGAATTGGGATGTGTCCCTCCCCAGGGCCCGATGGAGCTGTGTGGCCAGCTGGGACTCTGTGCCTCCAGCTCGGCATTGCCTCTGCACACGCTGCTCACAGAGAAGGTGATGCAGGTCCTGAGCATGCTGGGGGTAAGTGGGGACCCCCTCGGCTCTGCCCTGCTCATTAAAATCCAAACGCTGCGGAGGGGGAGCCTCATTTTTTAAAATTTTATTTCGTCAAGCACCTCCATTTATCCAAGGTGGGGAATGCCTTAGGAAGGGGATGAGGGAGGAATAGGATGAGGGTGGCTCTGGGGGGGCTCGGCATGCGTCCCACCCCCTTGTCCCGACAGGACAGGGTGGGGAACGCTCCTCTGTGCGACGTGTGCCAGTTCACCGTGAAGACGGTGGAGAGCCTCCTGGAGAACAACGCGACAGAGGTGAGCCCCAGCGCTGCTGGGGAGGGGAACGGGACAGGGGCAGACGGGGACAGCCAGGAGCCGCCGTCTCCCTCTTGTGCCTTGTGCCGGCAGGAGCAGCTGGTGAACGACATCGAGAAGGTGTGTTACATGCTGCCCCACGGCGTCATCGGGCAGTGCAAGGACTTCGTCAACTCCTACGGCAAAGCCGTGGTGATCATGCTGCTGGAGGCCACCGACCCCGCGGCCGTGTGTGCCATGCTGCGCTGCTGTCCCCGCGGCGGGGACACCCGGCCCGGTGAGCTGGCAGCCACAGCCCGGCCAGCCCCTGTCCCCTCCGCTGGGCGCTGATGGCCGTGTCCCGCAGGGGCCGAATCCCTGGAGCGGCTGGCGGTGAGCGCCGGCGCCTTCTGCAACGTGTGCCAGATCCTCATCACCTACTTCGACAACGAGCTGCTCAAGAACGAGACGCTGGAGGAGCTGGGCGAGGTGCTGGAGAAGGGCTGCGCCATGCTGCCCATGCCGCTCACCAGCAAGGTGAGCTCAGGGGGGCTCCCCCAGCCCGGAGGGGACACCCGGGGGGACCCGCCGCGCTCACCCCTCTCTCTCGCCCTCCCAGTGCCAGGCGCTCGTGTTGCAGTACGAGCCGGCGGCCGTGCGGCTCTTCGTGCAGATGATGGACCCCACCTTCGTCTGCACTGTAAGTGTCCTCATCAAGCAAGACGGGCATCCTTGGCCCAAGCCTGCGGGCTGGGAGAGGGCCAGGGGGGTCAGAGGCTCCTCGTGGAGGTTTTCTTCCTCCCCCCTCCCACCCTTTTCCTTTGCGACGCAGAAAATCAGAGCCTGCGACTCAGGCAAGGAGGATCTCCTGGGCTCGGCCCCCTGCGTCTGGGGCCCGCAGTACTGGTGCAAGAACATGGCCACGGCGGTCGAGTGCAGTGTAAGTGACACTCGTGTCCCCTCCCGGGGGTCCCCGCACCCCAGCTGCATCGTGCCCCTCATCCCAGCTCCATCCTGCCCCTCATCCCAGCTCCATCCTGCCCCACACCCCAGCTCCATCCTGCCCCTCATCCCAGCTCCATCCTGCCCCTCATCCCAGCTCCATCCTGCTCCACATCCCAGCTCCATCCTGCCCCTCATCCCAGCTCCATCCTGCCCCTCATCCCAGCTCCATCCTGCCCCATCTCTCCCACAGGCTGTCGCACACTGCCAGCGTCACGTGTGGAACTAGGAGCCATCTTCCCAGCTGGCTGGACTTGCTCTGCCGTTTGTTTCGGATCCTGGCTCCCTTCCCTTGGGATGTGCCTGCACTCACAGACGGCAAAGGCAGGAGCCAACCGGCCCCATCGGGGCTGCGTGGAACCCCGGTGGCCTCGGCCGCTTCCTCTTCCACTCCTGGGGCTTGGATTTCCAAAACAGGTTAAGGGACTCGTTAACGTTTTCAGGACTAGGGATTCAGCCTTGACATCTCTCAGGGTGACTGCAACATCCCCAATCTCTGTTCCCACCTCTGTCTCCATCCCCAGTCCCTTCTCTACCTCTCCATCCCACCCTGAACCACTCGTAAGGCCCAGATCCCTCAATGTGGATCTGTCCCCGTGGGCTGGGCTGGGTTCTGCTGCCCAAACACCAGGCCCGAGTTCCTGGCTGGCAGCAGCCTCACCTGAACATAAAACGAATGAGTTTGGGTGCAAGGATTCCCTTTCCAGCCCCGTCCCTGCTGGGAATCCTGTGCTGACCCAGCGGAGGGCAGCAGGGGGCCGGCTCGTCCCTCCCCGCCGTATCGGGGGGATGCCCGCAGTGCCTGGCCCTGAGCGTGCCTGGGAGCCTCCCATCACAAATAAACTCTTCCCGTGAGCCTGGCTGCTTGTGTCCTTCCTCCTTGGGCTGGGGGCTGCAGTGGGAGCGTGGCTAAACCCGGAGAACTCTGAGTGCATCCCCCAAAACCCGAGGTGCAGCAACACCCAGGGTGGCGTCTCGTGATGAGGGGTGCGTTAAAAGAGGGTCTCCTCTTCCAAAGGGGGTTTGGGCTGGGTGGATGTGGGGAGGAAGGACGACAGACAGGTTACCCAAAGCCATAGACAGTGTATTTCTGAGTCCCGTAACAGACCGTGCCCGAAACTCTCCACAAGGTTACGACTGGAAACAAAGCCCCCGAACAGACAAACCCAAACGCAAGAGAGAAGGGGAAAGAAAAGGGCAACAAAAGACACGCACGAGCACTCCACATCCAGAAGCTCCAGTTACTCTCTCTCTTTTTTGACATAGCAAAAAGTTTTGGTAAAGCCAGCGAAATGAAGGAATGTCTTTGGGTTGGGGTTTTTTTTCCTTTTAATTTTTTTGGGTCTTTCCTTATTGGAAAAGTGACATTAATGCTGAAAGGATTCGGTCTCTGTCCCATGCTCCCCTGGCCCTCCCCATGCTCGTGGTCGAGGTGTGACAGCTGCTTGTCCCCAGCCTGTGCCTGGGGATGCTGTGGCAGCACATCATCCTCATCCTCACTGCACCTTCCCCTGCCCTGTCCAGTCTGGACTCATCAGATTCATTTAGCTTTTCTTTTTTTTTTTTTTTTTTTTTTTCTCCTTTTTTTTAAGAAAAAAAAACTTTTTTTTTTTTTTTAATAAGAAAAATAAAAAAAATTTAATGGTTTCATGGATAAATGACAGGCGAGTAAAAGCATTCCGGTCCTGAGAGCCCTCTCCCGGGGCCAAGCTCTCCGAGGCTGCCGGAGCGATGCGCACCGGGCAGCCTGGACTCCTGCAGGGGAAGAGGGGGCCGAGCACCCTGGTCTCGGGCTGCCCCTGGCCCCCACCGCGGCCCCCCCCGGTCTGTGCTTCGTCCCCGCCGGCCCCGGCTTGCCTAGAGGAGCAGCAGCGGCCCCGCCGCTCGTCATAACTCGGTGATCTCCAGAGGGCTCTCCATGATCACCTCCCGCATCTTGTGCAGGGGGGTGGACTTGGCCGACTCGGTGCGGGCGTTGTGGTCGCTGTAGCCCCCGCAGTCGGCGGTCAGAGTCTCCAGCGAGCGACCCAGCACCTTCTGGTCGTCCTCGGGCAGGCTGTTGAGGTCGGAGGCCAGCAGCGTGCCCGTGCTGCCGTGCACCACGTGGATGCCGTCGGGACCCTTCAGCTCCACCGGCTGCTTGTGTCGGAAGCGCAGGCTGCCCTGGCTGGGGCTGCACTCCCCCTCCTCGTCCTCCAGCTCCTTCTGGATCAGCTGAAAGAAAGCCACGGAGCAGGGAATCACCACCGTGGCCACAGCAGCTCCTGGCTTCCCTGACTCCTTCGATGCTGGAGTCCAGCCAGGGGGAAAGGGCTGTCCTCTTCTGAGTGTGGTGGTGAGGATCAGCAGGAGATGCCCTGCTGCTGGAGCGCTCCACCCTTGGATGGATGCACCGGCTCAGGAACCGGCTGCCAGGTGGGTGTTGTGTCCAGCTGCCAGGTGGGTGTTGTGTCCAGGTGGGGGTGGGTGTTGTGTCCAGGTGGGGGTGGGTGTTGTGTCCAGGTGGGGGTGGTGTGTCCTGCAGCTGTCCCCAGAGCGGCCGAGGAGGAGTTTGGACTCAGGCTGGAATTTGGGGTTGTAAGAGGGTGGAGGGGTGGGAGGCAGATGGGGAAAGAAGACAAAGGAAGGCTGGATGGGGCTGGAGGGGAGTGGATAGATGGAGGGCAGAAGGGTTGAAAGGCATCTCCCATCCCACTGCTCCACTCTGCTCTCTTTGCCCCCCTTTTTGCACCCCCACAAGGGGTTGAAGGCCACAGGAGGAGTTGCTTCTCCCCATACCAGCCCTTCTACACCAACACACTCCATCCCAACATTTTTGTCTCAAAAACCTATGTTTTTGAGGCAAAAACCAGAGAAGCAGAAGGAAGGAAAGATGACCCCTCCCCTCAGCTTTGGCCAGCCTTGGCAGAAATGGGAACTGATGGGCAGAGCCAGATCTGCAAAGAGGGGTGTCCTCCCCTGGGCTCAGAAAGACCAAGGGAGCAGGTGCTGCTGCTGACCAGGGGAAACACAGGGAGTCACTGTGGGGAGCCAGCAGCCTGGAACACCGGTGAAAAAACAGCGGTGGGAACCAGTGGAAAACCGATATCTGGCTTGTTTTGACCAAGCAGAGAGTGGGGGGGGACCGCTGGGTGACAGGGACCACAGCCTGTGGGGCCAGGCAGACACACTGCATCCCAGAGGGCACGGCAAGCATCTCCCCACGCCCATGCACACCCCTCTACCTCCGAGACCGAGGAGCGGTCCCCCTGACTGGCGGTGGCCTTATGCACCATCCGCTGGGCAAAGAGCTTTTTCAGCCGCATGTAATCATCCAGAACCACCTTCAGGAGAGTGCCCTGGGTGCAGGGGGAGAGACTGGGGGTTATCCAGGGGACATGGCTGGATCGGCGGGAGCCCGGCCTCATCCCAGCATTTTTTGGAGCGGCATCACCCTCCGGCACTGTGACCTCGGAAGGTGCAGCTGTAAGAGAAGACTCCTCGGGGTAGGACGCCTGCCCTCAGCGCTCACCTTGATGGGTCCCTCCCGCATGATCTGCCCCAGCTTGGCGATGTTGTCGTACTCCTGGATGGCTGCCCGCAGGTAGCGGTCATCCTCGGGCTTGGCGGCGGAGGGCTCTCTCCCGAAGGTGCCCTGAGGGAGGGGACAGCGGCTCAGGAGCTGCTGCGGGTGGCAGGAGCGGGGGACAGACAAGGGATCCCGGCCGTGTCTCACGTGGGTGCGGGCAGGGCTGTTCCAGAGGTCGGTGATCTCGCTCAGGTTCTCCGGCAGGTCGTCTTCGTGCTCCGCCTGCGCCGCCAGCTCCATGTTCCTGCAGAAGGGGTCCAGCCACACCGGGTTGGCCCTGCCCGAGGGGAGGAACAGCCGTCAGGGCAGGCAAAGAGCTGCGGTTATCCCTAACCCCGTCCAGAGCCTGGATGCTGAGGTTGCACTGCCTCCTCCTGCCCTGTGCAGGTATGAATTTGGCTGCTCTGCATCCAGGTGCGCATCAAACCCTGCCCGTTATCTCTGCTTGCCCCAAACCTGGCCAGGATCGGCAGAAATGGAGTCACAGGAGAAAGAAAAATGGGTTTTTTTCAGTTTAGAAGGTTCTCAGGGCAAGCACGTGTCCCAGGATCAATAATGGTCCATGCAGAGCAGATCAGAGCAGGGAGACATCACGTCTCCACCTCCTGGCTCCAAAACACAGGCATCCCTCTCTTGGGAACAGCCTCCAACCCCAGGAGGCGGCACTCACCCGTCAAAGGAGTACTTGTTGGTGTTTGGCATGTCCATGATGTCCATGAAGCCTCTGTTCCCTGGAAAAGGCAGGGATGAGAGTTAGAGCACGTTGGTGGGCATAGCAGCAAACCGTGGGGTGACACTTCTTTGTCGGGGCGGGGATGAAGAGCAACCAAAGAGGAGGTGAGAAACACGGTGGGGTGTGGCAGGTAACGCAGAGCCTGATGGTGAGAAGAGCCTCCCACAGTCACACCTCGCTGGGCAGGATCACTTCTGATAGATCCCCCATGTCTCCCTGTGACCCCCATCCCGTGCTCTCCGTGCACCCCACCCTCCCGTGCAGCTGGGACACCCCAAACACCGCTCACCAGTGGAGCCAGCCACGATGGCTTTCAGTTTCCTTTTGTGCCTGCAAAAGAAACACAGACAGTCAGGGAAGAAAATAAGGAAAATGCTGGAAAGGAAGGAGGACACACAGATTTGCAATAACCCTTCATACAGGACGTGCATTAAATAATAAATACTAAATAAAGCTCATTAGGCATCATTAAGACCATGCATTTTGGAGGAAGAGGCGTTGGGAAGCTGATGCCCTCCTCTGCTTGCCGGCATTTCCAGGGCCAGGAGAAGCCACGCTGGTCCCCCTGCTCTAAGGGAACATTGCTGGGGCTGGGCAGAGCCCGGGAGTCACTCACACTGTCCGGTAGTACCAGTTCATGAGGATGAAGAGCATGGCAGCCAGGAAGAGCAGGACGGCCAGCACGATGATTGCCATCTAGGAGAGACAGAGGCATGGGGGCAACCCTCCGGCACCTGCTGGTGGCCATGTGCCCGAAGTTATATGGGTGGAACACCTCTCCAGACACTGACCAGTCCTGGTGGAAAGGGACACCCACCCCCTCTGAGAGCAACCCCAGCCGGACCCTTACCTGCAGAGCCGAGAGGTCGTCGGGTGCCCGGGCAGTAATGGCAGGCTGCACGTCCAGCACGTTGTAGTTCCTGAAGAGATTCCTCAGCTGCTCCTTGTTCTCGTCTATCATCTGAATAACCCTGGGAAGAGAAAGGTTGCTTGGGCACCTTGGCAGTAACCAGGGTCCCCAAGGAGCCAGGCTGGGTGGGGGGCCCAGGGGACGTACCGCTCCACGTCCAGGATGCGGTTGGTCTCCCTGTTCACCACGTGGATCAGCAGCTCCGTCTGGGCAAAGTTCACCCGGCCTTTCTTGTCAACGTGGAACTGGGGAGAGACAGCAAGGTCTGCAGCGTGGGAGAGGAGTTTCCTCCTGAGCACGCCTCGAGGAGTGCTCGCATGGCAAGGGACCCTCAAGCATCAATCTGGACCCCTTCAGTATGCCCCAGCCTGGGGTGTATCCATCGCCTTCGGAGCCCAGGGGTGTCTGTGGTTATCCAGGCAGGACTCCCTCGAAGGACACCTCACAAACAGCATGTGGAAGGTTATCTACCCCTCACAGCAAGCTCCAAGGCGATGGTTACCTGCACGTCATCCGTGTTGACGATGGCGCCCGTGATGTTGGAGAGCAGGCTGATGAACTCCTCCTCGAACTGCCTGACCTTGTCAGGGATCTCGTTGATGATGATTTTGACTCGCTGGTCATCCCGCAGGATGTAAATCCCCACAATGGCCGTGTCATTGTGGCCCACCAGGTCAGAGGCCATGATGTCCACCACAAAGTAGCCGGGGTTATAGGCCGTGAAGAGGTCAAAGGTTCGCAGGATGCCATCAAGGGTTCCTGTGGAATGGACGGCCACAAGCCCGGGATCAGTGACCCCAGCCACGGGGACACCTTTGGCCACAGGGATGTCTCTGCCCAAGGCCCCGTGCTCCTGCAGCATGTGGGGCACCCACCGATGCTGAAGATGTTGGCCACCTCCTCGGAGTCATTGGAGTGCTGCTTGATGTAGCGGATGCCCAGGATGCTGTACAACACCAGGCTGTTATTGCCCACATCGGCGTCCACTGCGAGCACTCTGATCAGCTCCGACCCCACCTTGGCATCAGTGGCAACCCCTTTGAGGGAGAGATGGGAAAGGGACCTGGGGCTGGGCTGGCTCTCACTGCCCCATCATCCTGCTGGATTTTCCTGGGAGTATCTCCAACTCCTGGCGCCCCCCGCCCCCACCAAGCTCCTGGCACCTCTTACCTGCCGTGTACTCCGACTTGGTGAACTGGGGGGACTGGTCATTGATGTCGTCCAGGAAGATCCGCACCTCCTGAAGGGTCAGGTCCTCGCTGAGGTCCCAGAGCTGGGCTCTTCCCGCCCGCTGGCCTCGGGGAGGAGCCCAGTTCCTCTGGCTGGATGCTTTGACAATGATGGAGTGGTACGGCTCCTTCTCCCGGTCCAGGTCTCGCATGACCTTCAGCTTCCCTTCTCGGCTCAGCTGGAAGTTGCTCTCCTGGTTCCCAGCTGGGTGCAGAGAGGCATCCCCAGTCAGTCCTCTTCGGGCTTGGCGCTTCCAAAACGCCACCTTGCCCGTTGAGCAGGGCAGAGAGGCAGCAAGGGGAGGATGGAAATCCTGGGTGAGGGGCGTCTGGGGGACCCAGAGCTGCCATCTCCACACCCACCTGCTATGAAGTAGTAGACGATGGCGTTGGAGCCCTCATCCGCGTCCACCGCGCCGGTGACGTTCCCCACCACGGTGCCTGGCCGCGAGTGCTCGGGGACAGAGAGTGCCTGGTACTGGGGACTATCCCTCTGCCAGAGACCCCCGGGAAAGGAGCGTTATGAGCCCTGAGGTTGCTTTAAACAAAAGCAGACAAACCCCACGGTGCTCCCCGCCATGGTGTGCACACTCCCCTACAGGTGCTTGCTGGCATCCCCATCCCTGCATCCCCTGCATCCCACCCCCTTCACCCCAGCGCCTTACAGGTGGCCTGAGGAAGATGGGTTCATTGTCATCGATGTCATCGAGCGCTACCTGGAGGGGCTGCATGGTCTCGTAGGGTGGCTGGCCCTGGTCGCAGGCCACGATGATCAGCTGGGGAGGGAGACAAAAGGGCTGTCCTGGGCAAAACCACACGGGCTGGGTGACACCACTGAGGCAGGGACAGAGAGGACAGCTGGATGGTGGAGGATTTTGAGGGGATTTAACAGGGAATTGGGTGCTGGCTCACCAGGATGCCACCCCTCTACGACACTTGATAACCACCCAGCTCCTGCTAAGGTGTGGTATCTCCACAAAGGTGCCAGCTGACCCCATCCCCACCACATCACTTGCATCCCACGCCGGACCCACAGCCCCAGCCCCCAGCCTGGCTCACGTTGTACACTGCCTGCTTCTCCCGGTCCAGCCGCATGGCCGTCTGGATCAGCCCGCTGACAGAGTCGATGCTGAAGTACTCCCAGTCCTTGTTCCCCGCCCCAGTTTTCAGCAGGCTGTAGAGCACCACTCCATTGAGACCCTCGTCTTTGTCTGTGGCATAGACCTCGTAGACGTTGGACCGCAGGGGGATCTCCTGCTTGCACACACACAGCCCTTCAGGCATGGCACTGCACACAAACCCCCTGCTCCCCCTGCCCCTCCACACCCCTCGGTCCAAAATCCCTTGGGTTTAGGGGTCAGCAAGCTCCCCCACTAGCCAAAACCCAGCAGGCAACATGGGGCCATGATTCCCTCTGGCCTGGTGGCTGGGGACTGGCTGAGTCAAGCACTGGGGACTGGCTGAGTCAAGCCTGGATTCCCAGAAAGGAGAAACATCTTAAATGTCAGCCTGTGTTTATAAACACTGTTTACTAATTCTGAGTGCTGCTGGGGTTTCTGTTCCCCAAATCTGCCCCACTGCCCTGCTCGCACGTCTGGAGAGAGGCTGCTTTAGAACACCCACCCCCATGACCCCAACCTTCTTGCCACATGTTAAATCAAGGTCTTGTTGCATCCCCGGTGGAGATGGAGTTTGGATTTTGCTCAACGTGCCATGACCCTGCTCCCTCCCGAGGGATTTACCTCCTTGATGTGCAGGATGGTGCCGTTGGGCGGGCGGACAAAGACGGGGCGGTTGTCATTGATGTCGATGACATCGATGTGGAGCAGGGTGGTCCCCCAGAGAGGGGGGTGCCCCTTGTCCGTGGCCACCACAGTCAGGTTGAACCTCTCGTAGGACTGCAGGCGTCGCCGGGATGTGACAAGCCCGGAGTCTTTATTGATCTTGAAAGCCTCTGGGGACAGAGGAAAACCCCACATCTCTGGCTCAGGACACTGTGCACAGATAAATTATGACTAGAAATGAGAATACCAGCTGAAGTGCACCACCCACAGTGGGGCCAGGGGTGTGGGTGGTCTCAGTGTCCCACTGCCACATCCTTGTCCCTGGGATCTACTCCCTGGTCAGCCCTGGTCTGTGTTTCACTCCTGCCCAGGCTGGAACAGTGGAGTTTTTGCCTGATTTCTGTGATTTCTCAGCGTGCAGATAAACTGGATTTCAGGCACTATCACTGCCCACCCACACCTCTTTGCCCTTCAAAGCCTTCAGCTAAAGCAGGCAGTGAGTCTGCTCCAAGACACGCTGGTGTGCACAGAAAGTCCTGCTGGGGTGGGGAAGACAAGAGCACACACCAAGGCTGGCTGCAGGATGAAGGCGGGCAAGCTCCTAACATCCCACACCATGAGGAACTGGAAACTGCAGAGCGATAGAGAAAGCTCCACGCTTTCAGTATTGCTCCCAGGAGTCCAAACCAGCCACAGGAGATGGGGTGTAGGCTTGGTGCCTGTGACTCCTTCCTCCTCATAACCCTCCTCCGTGGGGAAGAGCCCCCCGCCCCTAGCACCTACCCGCTCCAGGACCCTCGATGCTGTAGGTCACCACGCCGTTGTCCCCTTCGTCCAGGTCGGTGGCACTCATGGTGATCACTGACGTCCCCGCCGGCTCGTTCTCATAGACACTGGTGCTGAACTGGCTCTTGCTGAACTGGGGCCTGACATCGTTGATGTCCAGGACTGTGATCAGCACCTTTGATAGAGCACAGCCAGCTGGGTGAAGTGAGGCTGGGGAAGGCCGGGCAGCCCCTGGGGCCATACCCCTGCTGTGACCTGCAGCTCTGCTGCTGGAGAGAGGTGCCCTTCCTGCTATTTGTTTAACTCCACCAGCTGAATTCCTGCCGCCAACAATGGGGCTGCCGTGGCTGGGGCACCCATTCATGCCACAGCACTTGCAGACAATAGTGTCACCCTCCCCTGCCGCTCCTGCAGACGTGCTGTCCCCACGGCACAAAGTGCCCTGCACCATCCACCCCACAGCTCCCGGCGTCATCCGCTCTTCCTTCTGCCTAATTACCCCCCGGTGCAGCCACTGGGGAGGAAAGGTGGGGCATGAACGCCTTCTTGCCACGGGGTGATGGGAGGAGGAGAGCTCTACCTGCACAGAGTTCTCCCGACGGTTACTGGAGACATCCCCAGGGTTGTCCCTGGCCACGGCTGTCAGTGTGTAGTGATCCTTCTTTTCCCGGTCCAGGGCTGACAGGATGTAGATGTCACCCTGCAGCACACAGAGACCTTCAGGTGGACCTCGTCTGGCAGAGCTGGTACTCAAGAAGGGGCAGAAGGTGAGGTGTGGGAGCAAGGCACAAGCTGGGACCATTTCAGCCTCTCCTCCCTTTCCCTGCTCCGTTCCAGCCTCGGCTGGCTCCTTACCGTGTTGGGATTTATCCCAAACTTGCCCTCTCCATCGCCCAGGCTGTACTGGATGAGAGCAAACTGCCCGGAATCTGCGTCGGTGGCCTCGACGCTCAGGATGACCGTGCCCAGCGGCACATCCTCAAAGACAGCTTTCTGCAACAGAGGGAGCAGGCAGGACTGGCTCAGCCCGTGCTGTAACACAGGGCACAGGTGGCACACGGGACTGGGCACAGCCAGAATCCCAACAAAGTGCTGGCACAAGGGGAGTGGCAGGGTCGACCATCTTCTCCAAATGGTTCAAGCACAGGCAGAGGGAAGAGAAAGTGTCCCTGGAGAGCCCCCAGCTCTGTGCCTGTCCTCGCCAGGCAGTGGCCCAGCCCCACACAGAGTTGAACAGGGGAGCCCAGCTCACCTGGTAGGATGGCTGACTGAAAACAGGGTTGTTGTCATTGATGTCCACGATCTGGAGGTACACGGGGATCTCAGCGGATCTGCGGGGAGAGCCGTTGTCGGAGGCGCGGACGGTGAAGTTCAGCCACTGCACCTCCTCATAGTCCACTGTCCTGTTGGCCACAACCTTCCCTAGAGGATGGCAGACCCTGAAATGAGAAGCCTGGCCGGGGTCACTGACCTGCCCCGGATTCCCACTTCCCCAGACCACCAACCTGCCGAATGGTCTTCCAGACAGGCGTAACCTTCCGGAGAGAGGTTCAGCAGCTCGTAGGTGATCTGCCCATTGGCACCTTTGTCTGGGTCCACTGCTGAGATGGAGATGAGCGTGGTGCCCTGCGTGGCTCCCTCCAGGATCCGCTCGGTGAAATAGGTGACCCCGAAGGGGCGGAAGCGGGGTGTGTTGTCATTGACGTCCAAGACGTTGACCGTCAGCTCCGCGGTGGAGACCACAGGGGGAGAGAAGGAGGAGGAGAACAAGTGAGAAAGAGAAGGGAAGGAAGGTTGGGAGGAAGGAGGGTTGTAAAGGTATGAAAGTCCAGGAGAGCCAGCTGAAAAACTGCAATATTCCCCCAAGCAGCAATGCACTGAGCATGCTGTGGGTGTCCCTATGCTGTAGTGGGACACCTGCTCCTGATCTTTGTGTGTCTTCCCACACGTGAGCCCGAATTTACCCATAGTGGGGTGGCAAGATATGGTAGGAATGCTAAGGAAGAAATGAGTGCCTCCCATGGTAAGGTTATGGGCACACAGTCCTCTCCACACCCACTGCAGCCCTGGGATGTCTGTGACAGTGTCTAAAGGAGTCCTCAGGGGGGGACCTGAACCTGATGGGAGCCGGTCCAGGACTGGTCCCACTGGAAATGTTGCTGGTCAGGACTGGAGAGGAAGGTGGGAGAGCTGCTGATTACCCAGAAGCTGCAGTGGTGCCAGGAAGGGCTGTGCCAGTCCCTGTCCCCACACTGCCTGGGGACAACCCTTACCGTTGGGCACGCTGACCGAGCGGTCGATGACTTCGCTGGCATTGTCGTGGACAGAGATGGTGACCTCGTAGGTGGCCACTAGCTCACGGTTGAGGGGAGTTTTGATCTTCACAGCTCCTGGGAACCCCAAAAAGATGGATGTCACAGGCTGTGCCTGTGCCCCAGCCTGGGCAGGGCGGTGTCTGCCGGCTGATTGCTGCATCCTGTGCCACGCTTAGTTCTCCTGCCTCTCCAAAGAGTGAAGGAGGAAAACACTCGAGAGCTACAGGAGGACACAACTGCTCTCCCCCTGCTCTCCATGTCCTTCCTACCTGTCTGTTCCACATGGCCTCAAGTGGTTCTGGTTGTGCATCCAAACGGGGTTTGTATCCCCCGCACAACCGCATCCACCTGAGCTTAGCATCTTTAACAACCTTGTCCTGTATCTTTTCCAACAAAGGCATTTTTCTTTCCTGGATCAGCTTTGTGCTTCCAAAAAAGTCACGGGGAGCTCCCGGCCCTCCTTCCCCAAAGGAGCCCACCACCTACCCTGGAGTGCCCCCTTGCTCCCCCAGCGAGGGTGCTTGGGTCTCGTCTGACAAGGCTGAGCAGCCCCCGGCCCGCAATGGAGGCCATCTCTGCCAGTGGAGATGTGTGAGATGGAGGGAGGCCACGGGTGGCACGGGGACGGAAATGAGCACAGACACAGAGACAAACCCGGCAGACTGAGAGCCGGACAAGAAAGCAGAGTTAAGTCAGACAGGGAAGAGAAGACAGGGCAGGGTGAGACAGGGCAGCTGGAGGAGGACAGCGGGGAGGCAGGAGAGGAGCATCACCTGCCTGTACCTCGGACACCTACCTCCAGGAAGAGAAGAAGAAGTAGAAGCAGAAACGAGGAGAGGGGTCCACACTGCCCACTCCGCCCTTCCTGCTCTCCTACCTGTCCTAAAATCCACCGTGAACGCTCCTTGCTGTTCGGGCACCAGCGCGTCCGTGTCGTCGCGGGCCACGATCCCCAGCAAGTAGTACTCCAGGCGAGGGTGGAGGTCCCTGTCGATGGCGGTCACCTCGGCCACCACGGTGCCAGGGGGAGCTGACTCAGGGATGCTGACGGTCTGGATGGGGTTGATGAACTCGGGCCGGCAGTCGTTGATGTCGTCGATGATGATGCTGACGGTGGCGGTGCCCGAGAGAGCCGGGGTGCCCTGGTCCACGGCCACCACCGTCAGCCGGTAGGCATCGCGCTCCTCCCGGTCGATGGTGATGTTGGCCACGCGGATCACCCCCGTGGTGGCATCAATCAGGAACCTGTCCTGGCCACCACCCTCAATACGGTAGTCCAGCTGTTGGTTGAGGCCACTGTCAGCATCCGTGGCTGTCACCTGGAGGACGGAGAAGCCTGGAAAGGTGGGACACAGCCGTCTCAAGCGAGGGCTGGAGGGCAGCAGTAACAAGCCTTTGGTCCCCAGGCAAATACCATCAAGCAACATGGGCAGCCTCAATTCCCAGATTTTCCCTTTGACCCCATCCTGGTCAACTGTGTCACTGGGAGCTGGATCTTCACAGTCCCAAGGGGACGCCCAGGTCACCCCATTTCCCACCCGCACACCCAGTCCTGACCTGGAGGGCTGTTCTCCAACAGCCGTGCCGTGATGGATGCCGGCTGGAAGACGGGCCGGTTGTCATTGTCATCCAGGATGGTCACTGCCAGGCTGGCAGTGCTGTTCAGCCCCCCCACATCACGAGCCACCAGGGTGAATTCCAGGTGAGGGTCCAGCAAAGCCTCTCGGTCTATCACGGCACCGGGCTTCACCGAAACCACACCTGGAGAAGGTGAAAGGCCTGGTGGCAGACCACGTGGGCACCTGGTGGCCCTGGGCTAGGGACAGACCAGCTGAGCCACCCCACCTGTCTTGTTGTTGATAACAAAGAGGTCCGGGGATGCCTTCAGGAGCTCGTAGGTCACCACGGCATTGCTGCCCTGGTCAGCATCCAGAGCTAGGATGGGTCCATTGAGCATTGTGACCGGAGTCCCTGGATGAGGTAACAAAAGCATTAGGGAGGGTGGCAGTGCCCCCCAGGGCCCCCCCTGTCCCCCTCCCACTCCAGTGACACATGAGGGACAGCAATGAATGGATGGAGGAGGTGACAGAGCCGGGCCTCATGGGGTGTGAGGCACTGGGGGGTGGCTGCTGCAGCCTTGCAGACCGACTGGCGAGGCCCAGGAGAGGTGGTGGGACATCCAGCTAAAAGCAAACAGACAGACACATCCATCAGAGGGGTGGCACCAGCACCCTGCCACCGAGGGTTTCACCTGGAGGCATCCAAACCCTTTGCTTGAGACGTTGCCCAGTGGCGGGACAGGATACCTGAGGTCTTGGAGCAGGGAGCAATTTAAATGGCAGGAAGGCAAAACCAAAATAAGAATAGTGTTTCTAGCTTTTTGTCTGGGAAACGTCTATCTGGACAGGCTGGACTCCTTTAAACATCTCTAACCCCTGGAGCAAGGCAGTTCCAGGTGATGGAGAGACGGCAGCCCATCCTCTTCAGGGTATTGGCAGATGGGAGCCCTCAAGGCTGTCCCCATGGCCACCTGCTGCAGCTGAGCAAATCCCAAGTGGAGCTGATTTTTGACCCGTGCCAGGAAGGATTTTCACAAGCGGCATGGACCAAAGCTACGGTCTCCTCAAGGCTGATCAAGGCACAGGCTCCTCAAACTCAGCATCTCTGTCCCACTGAGCTGCAGCCCTGCCCTGCTCCTGTCTCCTCCACCATGGCCAGGAGACACCTCCCCTCATCCAGCCCTGAAGGCAGTCTTCAGGAGCCACATAAGGGAGTGAAGAGAGACCTACCAGGGGGCGAGTTCTCCATCACCTCAGCCTGGTAGGAGCCCTGGGTGAAGAGGGGGCGGTTGTCGTTCTCATCCGCTATGGAAATGACCAGCAGGTCAAAATCCTGAAGGAAAATTGGGACAAGAGGGCGATGACCATAATGTCCTTTCCTTGAGCTCACCTTCCCCCTCTCCCACCTCTAGTCAAAGCTGCAGTCCCTGGACTACCCTCGAAGGTGTGCAGGGACCCTCCTGCTGGGGCAAAGGCTGCTCCACTATCATTGTGGTTGTCCAACTCTCCAGCCCAACATCGACTCTACCCACCTCCCATGACATCTACTGCACAACAAATGACTTTGGACTTGCCCTAGATCCTCCTGATCCTGTTCTCTGCTGGGGATGGGGATGCAGCCCCCTCCTTGTGACCCCCAGATGCTTTCTGGGGATGGGGCTGCTATCAGAAACACCGTGGGTAAAGGCACCGCTTGTTTTTGGCCACGGCAAAAACACCCACCGCTTTTCCCACCCGCTCTCCCGTCCGTGCCGCGGGAGATGCCGGCAGTGTCCATAATTACCCGCCTGGCATTGCGTATGTTCTCGGGGTTGTCCTTCACCGTGATGGTCAGCCTGTACTCGGCCACCCGCTCCCTGTCCAGCGGGCGGTTCACGTACACAACGCCACTCTGCGAGGGAGAAAACACCACATGGGATGTGAGGAATGCTTCCCCTAGGGCATTTCCTGCCAGGACAAGGATGGCAGACAGCACAGCTGGCTTCCCACCCTCCTTATCCCAGCATCCCACCCCCCCGGGGGGGCCGTACGGTGCTGTTGATGTAGAAGGCATTCTCTGTGTTCCCTGCTGTGATATCGAAGGTCAGGAGGGCGTTGGGGCCCTGGTCCGCGTCCCGGGCGAGGACGCGGGTGACGAAGCTGGAGACGGCGGCGTTCTCGCTCAGGGTGAGGTTCATCGGGAGGTTCAGGAGCACGGGGTCGTTGTCGTTGATGTCCAGCACACGGACACCCACCAGGATCTGCCGGGGAGAGAAGCAGGGCAGGCGTGTGGCACGTAGTTCCACACCTCCCGTCCTTGTCTTGCACTCCCCGGGCAAGAGGTGGGCTTCCCCAGCTCAGCCTGGTATGGAAAGGCCTAGGCAGGAGGAGAAGGAGGTGGAGGGGAGGAGAATGATGAGACTAAAAGGGAAGGAACTGGGCACGGGGGATGTCAAGCCACAGCCCCCCACAGCCTGGGGGACTCACGGTGGAGCTGAGGGGAGGCACCCCCCGGTCCCGGGCAGCGATGGTGAGGTTGTAGAAGGGGATGTTCTCACGGTCCAGCTCGGCGTCCTTCCTCACCCGCAGCTCTCCTTCCACCGGGGAGATGACAAATTCCCCTGCCGGAGACAGCGGGGCCCTGGCTCCCACCATGCTTTGGCTCCGCAAGGGAGTGGCTTGTCTGGGAGCTGGGGCACCGTGGCAGGTCTGGGGACAAACCCCTGCCCCGTTACTGCAGATGTGACAGCTGGGGACGGCACTGGATGCGCTCCCAGGTAGCAGCAGGAGCAGGGGATGGGGTGAATGGGCAAATAAGAGGTGCCTGTCCCTGTTTTCTGGGCTTTTCCAAGGATGCCAACAGCCCCTCCGTGCCCTGGGATGGCCAGTACAGGGTGGGCTACGCAGCACAGACCCGCCATGAGCTGAAGGGCCTTGTCCTGCTTGTTCTGGAAAAGCTTTGCAGCGGGGTCAGCTGGGAGATGGGGCTGGGCTCCGTCTTCCAGATTCCCTGGACCGAAGTCACCTCTCCCTTCACTGGGGGACATCCCAGTTGGTTAGGAATGCCCCCAGCTCCTCTGCCATCTGCAGCATGGTGCTGGTGGAGCTGTGAGTGCTGGAGAGCAACTCGGTCTCCCAACACCCTGCAAGCCCCACAGGGTTCCCGGGACGAGGCTCGGTTTCTCTTCCTGCCCTTTGTTTTTCTGCCTTTTCGATTTCTTTTTGCCTTTAGGAGATTTCCCCTCTCCCTGCACAAACCCCCTGTCCAGGCACGAACAGGTTAAGTCTCCTGCTGCTCAGAACAGGATTTCCTGGTGTCGACAGGCTGAGCTGGGAGGGAGGATGGCTTTTCTGAAGCGCTTCCGCCCCAAGCCATGCTCTTCCACGGGAAGAGGTGATGCCCTGCGTCCCCACTTACCGAGGGGGTCCCCGGCGATGATGCTGTATTCCACTTGTCCACTGGGTCCTGAGTCCCCGTCGTGGGCCAGGAAAGTCCAGACACGAGGGCCGGGCTGCCCCTCGGTGACATCGAAGGGCCCCTCGTAGGGCCGTGGGAAGGTGGGACAGTTGTCATTGATGTCATTGAGGTTCACCAGCACCTGCGGTCACGGTGAGAAGCGTGAGGGTTGTGGCAGGAGAGGGATGGAAGGGGAAGGGAAGACCACCCCGCTGGGCCATGGGCGTGGGAAGCTATGGATGGGTGACATGGCAAAATACCTCCCGTATTTCTGGCTTTTCTGGGCTCACCAGATGTCCAGCTCACAGCTCAGAGACTCCAACTCTGTTATTCCTGCTCATGCCCATCCTACAGCCACACTGCAGGGCTCCAGCTGCAAACTCCTGAACCTCGGGGCCACACACCACGGTGGGGAACTCAACGCAAAAGCCCAGTGTCCTCCACATCCATGTCCAAGCACCACAGACAAAACCACAGACATGAGTTTGGAGACACAGGATCTCTGCAGCCAGCTGCACACTGGCTCACTCCTTTTCCTCCAACAAATACTTAATTCCTAATGCTGAACAAACTTCAAAAAAATTGGCAGGCTGCATCCTTGATCCGACAAAACCTGGTGGTACAGGTGGTTATGAGAAAGACGCTGGAAATGAGGAGTTTTCTGACCTCCTGGGTTGAAGAATAGTGAAATCCACCAGATGGACATTCGTTGCTGGTTAAATCTAATCTTTACAGAGAGTACATCCAAGTTTCTGCTCCGTTTCCTAGCAGTGGAGGAAACAAACACTGGCACGCCTTATCGGGGTGATGGACTTCCCATCACCGGGGATCTCAAATAGTCCCCAAACCTCCTCCTAAAAGCTGTGTTTTCATATTTGCTGGCACAAACTCCTTGAGCAGCAGAGGGAGGGTGTTTCCTATCTTTCCTGGCTTCAGTGCATGTTGCTGAAGGGGTTTCCAAGTTCATGTCTGTGCTTGAGCCAAGTGCAGGGGAAGTTCTGCCTTTGCCTGCAGCACATGGCAGCCGCTGCCTTCACTGCCTGCAGTTAAACCCCGGCTCTGTCCTGGGCCAGGGAGTCATCCCCAGCAGTATCAGATGCACAAATCTGAAGGCTTTCCCTTTGTCCAAGCATGGAGCCCCACTGCCAGGTTTGTGGGGACAGATTTTATCCACAGAAATTTCCCACACTTGTATCTCCCCTGCAGTTTTTCTTTTTTTCCCCCCCTTCACACACACACACACACACAAGAATTTATCTCCTTTTGTGGGATTACAAAACCTGTGGCTCGATATCAGGGTGAGGTACAGTGGTCCAGGGCAATCAAGACAGAAGATTTAACCCATCCCTGCCACCTGCAGACCACCAAATCAATTTGGGTATGCTGTATAATTGGTCGGATTTTGGTTTTGGTCACAAAAATAATCCATGTACTCAATTCCTGCAAAATATTTGCTTTGGAGCTGCTCGCCTGCCCTCTCCAGTTTTTGAGCAGTGCACTAACTTCAGGTCACCATGCCCCAGGGAAAACAGAAAGAGCTACAGAGAAAAGCAGCATAAAAATGACTAGAGCCTTTAAATAATCTCCTTACAAGGGAAAAGAGAATTTTAAAAGCACATAAATAACAAGAAAAGATAAAGATGAAACTGAAATTAACACTGTAGTAATGCTTTACTACTACTACTTCAAGCAGGAAGGACCAAGAGGACATCTCAAGAAAACACAATGCAACTTAAAAGGAGTTCCAGGAGTTTTCTCCATGTCCTTGCAGGACCAAATAACTGGGTTAACTAGCCCAGAATTGCCTCTTGTGCGTGACCCTGTTTTGAAACACCCTCGAGGGAGCAAGGTGACAGCAACTGGGAAAAGCAGCTGGTGGCCACTGGGAAGGAGATGTGAAACTGCTCACAAAGTGGGAACTCTTGACCCCAGGGAGGCCAGAGTGTCGCAACCCCCCTGCCCCCCGTCAGCTCCTTACTGTGGCCGTCGATGTCAGGCGGCGTGAGACGATGGGGCACTGGTCGGTGGCGGTGACGATCAGGGTGTAGCGCCCGTGGCTGATCTCGTAGTCCAGCTCCTTCACCGTGCGGATCTCCCCCTGCAAGGACAGGGGAGAGCAGCTGGGAGTGAAGGGAGCGGGACAGGGACACGCCTGGAATGGGGCCGGCATCCATACTGACCGTGGCGTTGTCAATGTGGAAGGTACCCAAGATGTTGCCTTCAGTGATGGCGTAGGCCACCGTGCCGTTGGGTCCCTCATCCTGATCCAGGGCCTGCACGGTGACCAGGGTGGCATTGAGTGTGGAGGGACCTTCATCGAGGGTCACCTCGTAGAGCTGCTGCCGGAAGGCGGGAGCGTTGTCGTTCTCGTCCAGGACGGTGACATACACCGTGGTGGTGGCCTGTGGGACACGGGACATGGCGTTAAGCCCTGTTGGAGGCATTTCCTGGGCAGTCTCTTGGAGGTGTCTGGATCTGTCAAGGTCAAGGACCAGCATGGGCTCAGCACTGCCAAGAGACACAAACGAGAGTGTAGGGCTCCAAATGAAATGAGCCGTGGCTTCAGACGCACTTCCAGGTAACGGTTGGGTACAGAGATAAACGTGCTGAGATTAAATCACACCCTTGTTCCCAAGCAAAGCGTGTCTCTAGGGGATCCCTCCTCTTTTCATGGTTTACCATTGCTAGCAGAACCAGGGAGCAGCCCATGGCACTGGGAAAAGCAGACCTTGAACCCCTCTGTGCCTCCCCTTGCAGGAGGCGCGTGTGAGTCCTTGCCTTGCCACTGGGGAATCGTTACTACAACAATAGTTATGGTATATCTGGATGGAAAATACAATATACATGAATGGAAAATACCTGGAGACAATGCTGCCACGGCTCAGGGGAGGAACAAAACCGAGCATCTTGGACACCCAGACTGACCTTCCATGGTCCCACCACCTCCCTGCTGACCACAACATCAGTGCCCGTCACGCTTGGCTGGACTGGAGCCTCTTCCCGCTGTCCCTGGCCCTGCATGGTCACCTGATGTCCTGGCTGTCTTATGGGACTGTCACCCCACCTGGGGATGGGGAGGTGACAGTGGCACCCCACTCAGCACAAGGGCTCAGCACAGAGGTGGGGGCTTGGGGCAATAAACCTTTTCCTTGGGGTGTCTGGGCTTCACACCTGCACCTTCCCCCAGCAACAAATCTCTTCCAGCCAGCCAAGGGTTACGTTTTTGGCAGGAGCATCACAGCCGTGTTTGCTGTAAAAGCTACAATGCCACACGGTAATTCGGTACTTTTCTATTTCCCCCGCACACTCCCGATTCAGGGCAGGCAAGCAGAAAAGTTTCCTGCGGCTTGCAAAACCCCACGTGTCTCCGAGCTCCACTTTCCAGGGAAGGCTGACTGGAAACGAGGCAGCTCTCAGCTGCAGCTAGAGATTTTGTTGATGCCTTTGGAATTCGAAGAGAAGCTCCAGGAGGAATTACGTGTCAAACCACGGGGCTGCTTAGCTGTTTCAGGGCAGAGTGTAAATGGGCTGTAGGAGGGGGATGCTTTGCTCCCATTTCTTTTTTTTGGGGGGTGGGGGGGTGGAGTATGCTCCATTCCCTTTTCCAAGTCGGCATTGCTCGGAGTAACCCTTCCCTGTACCAGCCGCTCGTTCGTCCCAGGAGGCGTTCTGCCTCCTTAATCCTCACAAACAAGGGGAAAACAGTAATTGCGAGCGAAGTTACGACCCGGCCCAAGGAATCAGCACCCGCGGGCCCCTTGGCCCGGCGAGCATCCCCCAAAAACGCACTCAGGGGGACCAGCTGGCTCTAGGTGAGGCCGTAAGGGAAGAAACCCAGCAGAGGCACCCACTGCCCGAAGAGGTGGGGTCCGAAGGCACTGCCACCCGCGGGTGCTCCCTGCAGCCTCTCACCTCCGGGGGGTGCTCGCTGTTCTCTGCAGCGCGAATCGCGATGAAATTTCCTGTGTGTGTGTGTGTGTGTGTGTGTGTGTCTGTGTGTCTGTGTGTGTGTGTGTCTGTGTGTGTGTGTGAGTCCGGCTGTCGCGGCGGGGCTGCTCAGAGGGTGCGGTGGCTCGGCAGAGGCCACCTCTCCGCGGTCCCCCCGCCACCATGGGGACAGCGTCCCCCCGAACCGGGCTGCTCCTGGCTGCGCTCTGCCTGCTGGCTTCCCACGGTAAGCTCCAGCTCGCTTTCCTCTCCTCCCTGCCCGGAGAAACTCTCCTCACTGGGGCACCCGCGCTCGCCTGCCCGGGGCTGAGCTCCGGCACAAGGAATCGGGTGTTTGGGGCGATGTTTGCGCTCCTCCCCAGTGATTTTGGGGTGTGCGTGTGGGGGGATCAAGCCGGTGTTTCACACGGTGCTGGTTGTGCTGGGGTAAAAAAGGGGCCGCAGGGGAACTGCCGTTCTAAAACTCTGAGAGTGTTTTTTTTTTCTCTTTCTTCCTTTGCTTTGATCTAACATGCGTGGGAGCAAAGCAGCCCCCTGTCCCCGCCAGCCTCCCGCTGGCGGGACCCCGGGCTGGAAAAGCTGCTCCGTTCCCGCACGGCGCTTTTCCCTGGCACGGTGGGGGTCCCCGGCTGTGCCACGGTGAGAAGACCCCTTCCAGCAGCCCTGGCGGAGCGGAGAGAGGGGATTTGTGCGAGCAGCCCTCTCTGTGGATGCTGCGCTCCGCCGGGATGTGCCGGGCTGCTGCTCCGGGTGGGCAACCAGCCGTGGCCAGGGCCACGGGGAGCGGCTGCCGAGCTCCCCTTCCCCGGATGGAGCGCTCCCCAGCGCTGGGAGCTCGCTGGCTGCTTATCAGGGGGATGCTTTGGGAGGGGGCTGCTTCATGCCTGACTCCGCACCAGCCCTGGCATGCAGCATTTTCCTTCGGGCGTCCGGGTCCAGGCAGTGGAGCAGGGGCGGTGGCATTAAAACCGCGGTTCCACTCTGGACAACGACTCAGAGAAGGAAGATGGGAAGGACCGTGATCCCTCCCTGCCCTGCGCAGGCGGAGGATGAACATCGGGCCTGGCTTCACTCTCTCTCCCGGGACAGAGTGACTGCCTCCACGACTTCTGCCAGCGCATCTCCAGGAAGAAGAAGATGCCCAAAGATGCCCCAAGAGGTCCCTTCCCTTCTCCTCTGGTACAGCAAGGCTTGAACCACGTTTTGCTTCTCATCCGAGTCTCGGCATCAGGGAGCAATTCCCAGCATCTCCACAGGGATTTGAAAGATTTCATTTATGCATCTGTGGTGCTGGGACTGAGCTTCAGGCCTTCTGCAACGCAACAAGCTTGGATGCTGATGTTGAATGTGAGGCTGCTGCCAGAGGAACTGAGCTTTGCGCAACCCCACGCCTGCTGAAACTTTCTGAACACCCGGCTAATTTTAGCAGGGACTGATGGAGAAGCAGCCCTTGGAGACATCCAGCTTGGGGATGCTGGCAGCAAGGTGGATGTGGAAGTGACAGCAAGGTGGAAGTGGCTCCTCTTCACCTAAAGGATGGCAGCTGAGCTGGGCTTTCCAAAATCTCATCCCAAAAGTGCTGTCGCTGATCCAGGGCTGTGCTGGGAGAGGAGCAAGGCAGGACCTCCCGAGGCTGCTCCCTCTGCTGCCTGGATGATGGGTACCCCCACTGCTGGAAAAGCCATTTGGCCCCTGGGGTGCAGGAGATGAGGGCTGTTAACACGTCTCAGGCATCTTCAGCAAGTTTTTCCTCTCCTCTTTCTCTCGTGCTCGAGGTGCTTCTGCAGAGCCACGGATGCCCCTGCACATCTCACCTGGCTGATAACTCTGGGGCATAATCACAGCTCAGTGACGATGGGGCTTGGGGCACTTTGATGTGAAGAGGAGGAAAGCAGAGCTCCTTGCTCCACCTCTGTCTGCAGCAGCCCCTCCCCTGCAGCAGGTGAGCCCCTCCAAAGGCTCCATCCCCCCAATCCCTGCAGATTTCCTCGGAGTGGAAAGAAGCGGCCTGATGTGGAAATCACTTCTGGCAAGCACAGGAGTGCAGAGCAAACACCTGCTTGCCAGGGCTGGGGACCAAACACAGGAGAAGCAGCCAGGAGAGGCTCTTGGTCACTGACCCAGAATCTGGTGTGAGATCCTGATTTATTTAAGCTGCTGGTCAGCCAAGCAGCACAGGTCAGGTTTCTGCACTTTTTTGTGTTTCTGTTTTGTCTGAAAGCAGAGCTCCCAGGTGTCAAGAGAGTGATGCCAGCACTGGGATGTACCAACACTGCACTGGGCTCTGCACCGCACCGGTGCAACGCCACTGGTTGGAGATGAAGTTACTGAGGTGCCAAAGAGGAAAAGGGGCACTTCTGACACCTGCTTGAGGCCTCCTCTGCCTTTACCAGATGGTGACAAGACAACAGCTCTCAGCTCAGCCCTCAACTGGTCCAACCAGCTGGAGATGCACAGAGATGGGCATCTGGCTTTATTTTGGCACTTGCCAGCAGCTCTGACTTCAAAGGGAACGGTTTGACTGGGGTGTGGAGAGAGCCAAGCCTGGGCTCTGGGCACGGAGCAAGCCCAGGAGATTAAAGATCCATGGGCTTTACTATAAAGACACTACCAGAAGATGTTTTCTCTGGGCTCCCTCTGGCATCCAGGACGCGTTTGAAGCCTGGGTACATCTTGGGGAGGGAGCACCAAGGGCCCTGGCACCGCTCTGGGCTGTACCGTGCCCTGCCAGCTGCTTTCTCCTCCGCTCCGTGGCTTTCGAGAGCCTTCCCCCGCTGCGGAGAAGGAAGGGAAGCCTGTAATGCCGAAGGTTGCACACATGGTAACCTCTGCCCCTCCCCAAAAGCGTGGGCTGTGCTGACTTTCCATCCAGACGGTTCCCATCAAGCTCCGGAGGTGGAGGCTGGACGCTTCAGCAAGGCAGCGCTTCGCAGCCTGTGTGGGGATGAGCGGGACGGCCCTACTCCACTTGAGGGGGGAGTGTGGAAAACAAAAGGCTCCTGCAGATACTTTTGGAAGGTGTTGGAAGTGTGGCTTCCTCCAATAGAGCCCTGGCTTCCCTTCCTGTGGCTCCCAGGAGAGCCCCGATGTGAATGGGGCACTTCCCCTCTGTGGCAGGTATCGAGAAACGCATCTGAGGTGCCTTTTGTGCTCGGTGCTTTGGCAAGGAGGTGGGGGAACTGCTCTGCCAGAACCCATCCAGCCTGGCTGTGCATCCTGGCCCCAGCAGCACCCGAGGGTGAGGAGAAGTCAGGGCTTGCCAAGGAGACTGAACGAGGCAGCGCCGAGCTCAGGCCACAGGAACCTCTGGCCCGGAGCAGCTCCGAGCTGCTGCACCTGCTGTGGGGAGCAGGAAGCAATCAGCCAGAGTGGCCAGGCAAAGGTCACACCATCCCTGGCTCTGGGGACTGCTTGGCACTGTGGGCTCCAGAGCAGGGAGGGCCGATCTCCTTCCCACAGGCTCCGTCTCCCTGCAGTGCACCCTCGGGCAGGGCGCAGGGGCTTCGCGGCTGCTCTTGCAGCATCGCGTCAGAGATAACCACAGCGGGGGGAAGGCACGTTTTTGGTTTCGCTCTCTCCAGCAGAGCAGGTGACACAGTGACTCCACTGCCAGGACGCTCTGGGGGTGGCCCAGCAGTGTGGAGCCCCCGGGCTGGCTTGGTGCTTGGGCAGGCACATCACGCCCCGCCTGTGATTGACGCCCTCTCGACAGAGCAAGCGAGAAACCTCAAAGCGAAACATGGTGGAGATAATGGCACAACAGGATGTTACCAAAATAAAATAAAATAAAAAAAACAACAAACCAAAAAGAAGCAACAAACCCATCTCGCCCTTATAACATCTTCTCTGCTGCAAAGCAGCCCCAGAAACCTCTTTTCCACTGTAATTCAAAGTAAATAAACCCGGAATCTGCTTTTTCTACAGCTTTCGAAGTGACGTAAGCACTTCTGCAAACGTGAAGGAGGGGCAGGGCCAGAGCAGCAAAACCTCTCCTATCCTGGCACTTTTCCCTCCGCTCATGCACAGCTCCCCTTGCCCAGCAGTTCCCCCCACCCGTGTGCTGGGGATGCCACAGTGTGCCCCTTGCTCCCGCTTCTGCCACGCCTCCTGCCCAAGTTCCAGAATTCCTTTCCGAAAACTGTTGTCATTTTTCAGAAGCTCCTCGCTGCCAGCATCAGCCAGTTCCCCCATTTCCTCCCTGGGGGCTGAAAAACAAGGAGGGTGGGACCTGCTCCCCGCCTCATCTGGGGGAGGAGGGGGGCCACTGCTCCTCCTAGAACTTTTCTGTTTGTTTTTGCTCCTTTTTATTTTTTTTTCCCTTGCAGCTGGCCCAGCATGCTTGTGTTTCCTCCTTCACAAGCCATAACCCCTCTGCCTTGCTTCTCCTCTCGTCCTCCTTTGCCTCCCTGCCCCACACCTCTGCTGGCCCCAGAGAAGCTTCTGCCTCTCCGCCGCTGATGCTTAACCGTATTTCAAGCGTGTCTCTCCTGCAGAGCTGATTTCCAGGGTGAAGTTGTGCTCCCAGCCCGGCTACAAAATCCTGGAATGGTCTGGGTTAGAAGGGAGTTAAAAACCATGTAGTTTCAACACTTCCTTCTGCTTCAGGTTGTTCAGAGCACTCTCCAACCTGGCCTTGGACACTTCCAGGGATGGGGCAGCCACAGCTTCTCTGGGCACCCTGTGCCAGGTTGCTTTGCCAGCACTGGTGGTGGGTTTGCAGTTTGCAAGCTGAGGGTAAAGCCAGGCTCTGACTCGGTACCTTCTCCCTGGCAGGAGGGGCAGCAGCTTTCCTGATCACCGCCCCGTACTCGCTCTGCGTCTGTCCCGAGGGCCAGAATGTCACCCTGACCTGCCGGATCAGCGGCCCGCTGGCCGAGCGCCACGACCTGCTCTACAAAACCTGGTACTTCAGCAGCACCGGCGACCAGAGCTGCTCCGACAAGAGACACATCCGCAACGTCACCGACAGGGAGCTGCACCACGACCTCAGCAGGCACCACGAGCTGCCGGGCAATGGCTCCCAAAAATCACCCCTTGGGCGGCAGAGCGGCCACCACGGCGTGGAGTTTGTCCCTGACCACCACGGCGCCTTCCACATCGTGGTGATGAACCTGACGCTGCAGGACAGCGGGAATTACTGCTGCTACGCCGTGGAGGTCAGGAGGGAAGGCCACGGCAAGCCCCACACCATGCAGGTGGCTCACGGCTTCGTGGAGCTGCAGATCCAGCGAGGTGAGGGGGGAAAAGGAGCCCCTGGCAGCCCTGCATCCGTGCCAGGGCACAGTGCCAGGGAAGGGGAGGTGGGAGATGCAGCGCTGGGGATGGGGAGGCAGCGTGTGCTGATGCTGGAAGTGCAGGGCATGTTCCAGAAGTCAAGGAGCAGCAGATGTTGAAGGTTTGAATTAGGGCTAGAGAGCAACAGAACATTAAAAAAAAAAAAAAAAAGAAGGAAAAAAAAATTCTTAATAACTCGAGAGGCTGGAATGCAATAAAATCCATGGAACATAGTTTCACTGATCTTCTTCAACCTCCTTCTGGCAGAGAGAAAAACAAGCCTCAACTTAAAAGGGGCTGGCGGGTGGTGCAAGCCCCAGTGAGGGCTCACAGATAACCTTGGGACAGCAGCCCAGTGGGAGAGGCATGAGGGAGGGGAAAGGCATCTCCTGGCCTTGATTTGCAGCATTAGATAGCCTTTCCTTTAGACTGAAAAAAAAGAAGCTGCATGGTCAGGGATGGGCCCTGCTACCATGGTGAAAGGGGGTCTTGCAGCAGGGATCTGGGTGAACACTTCCCAGGATTAAACTCCTGCTTTGGGCTGCTCTGGGATGACATTCTCAACACCAGGGAGAAAAGGCACGGACAGCCAGCAGGTTGGGGGGTTCTGTGGGACCTGAGTGAATCCTAAGCTTTTCTGTTCTCTTCTGCAGGCAAAGGAGGGCTTCAAAACTGCACATTTCACACTGCCACCGGCAAAGGTAAAGGTAAAATCCCCTCTTTCCAATGGGCTGCTCACCATCCTGGCCCATGTATTCCCTAGGGATCACTGCCAACGCACCAGTGCCCACATGCAGCCTCGCAGCAGGGTGGCATCCAGTGCTGCTCCAGCAGGGTGTGCATGACATGCACATCCCCAGGCTAAGGAGAGGCTTCTTTAGCCCATCAACTGGACATGATGGTCCTGAAGCCCATGGGGATCATTCACCCTGATGTTCTAAAGCACCTGAGCCCCCCTCCCCAAACAGGGATTTGGCTGCCACGCGCAGATGGGAAGGGACAGGAAGGTAAAGAGCTGCAGGAACCCCTTGCTACACCCCGAGCCTGGGTCACCTCTGCCTCAAGCAGGGGAAACCCAAACCTTGCTTGAGTGCTCAGACAATGTGGGGCTCCCCCAGAGCTGTGTCTAGACATGGAGATGCCCACACTTCACTGTGCAGCTGGTTTCTTGCTGGGTCCCTCTCTCTATCCCCCTTTGCTGGCTCCTAAATAGGCAGATTTGGCTAAAATTACTTTGCAGCACGCCCAGACAAGGGAAGCAGCTCCTGGTCCCCAGTGAGCTGTGCTTTCTTGTCCCTAACCTTCAGTCTCAAGTGCTGAGACACCCTGCCCTGTCAGGAAAAAAGAGAAAAACATCCCCTCCTAAAACACAGACCCATGGGGCAAGAAGCTGCCTCCTCAGATGGAGGTACAGGAGAGGAGCTGAACCTGCCCTTGATTTAAGGAGCCTCACCGTCAGCCATCCCACAGGGGCCTTGGTGGCCACAGATGTGCCAGCAGGCTGCCAGCCTTTCTGGGAGCCTCTGTGGGTGACATTCTCCAGGGGCACATTGATTACCAGAGGCTGTGGGTGACAAGCCCTTTGATGCCCGAGCACTTTGAGGTTGGCAGTGGGTTGGGAGTCAGCGCTCCGAAGTTGCTGGGAGCCTTTATCCAGGCTTCTCTCCTCATATCTAGAAGACCAAAACCCTTGGGATGTCCTGCAGCAGTGAAGGACTTTGGTGAGGGTTCTAACAGGATGCCTCAGAGCTTATCTCCGCAGCTGGCAACGCTTCCCAGTGTGAATACCGCGCGTGCATCAGCTCTGAGGCAACACGGGCTGGATGATCTTGATAAACTTGATGATGGACTTGACAAGAAATCCTGTAATTTTGGCTGGGGGAAGCCAAGGAAAGGGAAGGCGAAGGGGAGCGTTCACCTCTGCACTCTTCTGTTGCAGATATCACGGCCGCCGCGCTGGCCACGGGCGCCTGCATCGTGGGCATCCTCTGCCTGCCCCTCATCCTGCTCCTCATCTACAAGCAGAGACAATCTGCCAGCAGCAGACGTATGTACCGGGACACCCAGCTCATCTCCCGGGCTGCAGCAGCCTGGCAAGGCTGGATGGGATGTGCCCCACGGGGATCGGCTGCTTCAGCTGCCCCAAGTCCCACGGGCCTGGTGGGAGGTGGAGGTCCCTGCCAGGTGCCTCCTGCAGAGCTGTCCTGGGAAGGGCCAGGCATGCCTGCAGGCTGCTGGTGAGGAGGGTGGGACAGGAGGGCACGGAGACTGTGAGGATGCTCCCTGCCGAGCCCTTTGCTCCACATCCACCGTGAAAGACATCTCGTTTTCTCATCCCTCCCTTCCACTGCACACCTGAAATAGAAGCTTTGCCTTCCAAGTGACTGCAAAGCATTATTTGCACTTTTTCTCACCCTCTTCTTTAAAAAAGACCCCTGACATGTCTATGGCCATAGGACTGCAGCAAGCCAGGTCTTCCCTCTGCTGCCCCCGGCCTGGAATCCCAGGCTGAGCTTGGCTCCAGAGATTTCGGTAATTAAGCTCCTGCCCGTGCTTGGCTCCCGGAGATTTCGGTAATTAAGCGGAAAGGGGCACCACCTCAGCTGGCAGAGCCATTTCATCAGCCCTTGGGCAAGCGGGGGCCCCGTGGTTTTCCTCTCCCAGCTCGGTGGGCGGCTCCGCGGCTCCGAGGAGACCTTTGGAGAAGTGGCTTTTGCAGCAGCAGCGGGCACGGTGCCAGCCACCAGAATGGGAACTGTGCTCTCCACACATCCCCCTCAGGCACCCACCTAGCAGTGGCTGGGCTGCAGCTCCCACCTCCATCACCTGGATGCTGCTTCACCCCAGAAGGCAGTCAAAATCCAGGGGGGTTTGCCCTGCCAGGGGTCACAGAGCAGGTTATTTCCACACAGCACTTTTCTTAGGCACAGTTTGGGCCAGAACTCGAGCATCTCAGCTCAGGCAGGCAGGCAGAGCCCAGTAAGGTGGGCTGTGGGATCTGCTGGGGCAAAGGGGGAGAGGGAATACCTAGCACGGTGCTGCCAAGTGCCAGTGCTCTGGTGTTTGCAGAGCCCCAGGACGGTGCCACAGCTGGGTGGTGGCATCTGGGCACGAGTGGGGCTGGACTGCAGCTGCACCTCACTTCACTCCATGCCTGCAGAGGTGCCTCTTCCCCTTCTTTGGAGCCTGTGGTCTCAGTCTGGGAGGAAGCTGGGCTGGGGAGTGGACGAGGTGGGAGAGGGCAGGGATGCAGGGAAGGAGGTTTGGGAGCAAAGCAGAGGCCTGAAGAAGACGGTGAGGGAGGGAGCAGTGCAAAGGGAGAGGAGGAATTGGAGGTGGATGAGGCACCAGAACACAGCACTGTCAGTGGGTCTGGGCCTTGTGCTGCCAGCACTCACCCCAAACATTTTGTCTTTGGCAGGTGCCCACGAGCTTGTCAGGATGGATAGGTAAGGAAAGCCACGTGCTCCCAGCTCCTCACACGCCCTTGCAGCCTGCATCCCACACCCTGCAAAGGTCTTGTCCTTTCCTCTTTCCCCTTGAAGCCAGCACATATCCCAGCAGAGTGTCACCCACGCCCTGAGTCCTTTCCCTTTCTGGGAAATCACTGTTTCTCTTCCCTCTCTCCATGTGGGAAGTGCCTCCTTCCGTTTTTCAGGGGCTTGTGTCTCCCTGCACTCAGAGTTTAGCCTGGGACCACTTTGGCTAAACTTTCCCTGTGCACTGGGCTCCCCTTTGGCTCTCAGCTGAGGTGGTGCCACCTTCTCAGGAGCTGCTCCCTGAACCTTCTCCCTGCCCTGCTTCCCTGTTCCCAATGCTCAGCCAAACCCCTGGGGATGAAAAAGGGCTCCAGAAATAAAAAACCCAGCTCCTCTCTTGTGCCGCAGCAGCGCCCAGGGCATTGAAAACCCCGTGTTCGAGGCGGTGCCGTCGGCCAGCGCGGAGCCACGGCCCCGGCCCCAGCTCTCCTACGTGGCCAGCAGGCTGCCCTCAGAGTCCGGCCGGCATCTGCTCTCGGAGCCCAACACACCCCTGTCCCCCCCTGGGCCTGGGGACTGCTTCTTCCCGACCCTGGGTGAGTGCTGAGCCCCTCTGGGGACACCGGGAGAGGTGGGGTGAACAGGGGAAAGGGGGGGGGTGTTAAATATCAGCAGCAAACCTGGTGTGGTGTGGGACATCAAATCCCACGGCTTAAAAGATGGCAAGGACCTAAACCCTCTGTTTTCCATGCAAAAACAGAGTTCAGCCACTTCCTGGAATAATATCCCTTCAGCTGCAAGCTGGATTAATATTCCCTGGTCTGCCCTTTTCCAGATCCTGTTCCCGACTCACCAAATTCCTTGAAAGCCTAAAGACCCCAGAGGAAACCACATCCTGAAGACCACGCCAGGCTCACCAGGACAACAGCCCCGGGAGGGTGGCAGGGCCAGGGCCAGCAATGCCGTAAGAAATGAAGCTGTGTGCAGGATCCCTGCCCTTGTCTCCCATCCTGCCACTGCTCTGGGACTGGAAGTGAACCTCTCTTGCTCCGATTTCGATCTTTAACTACCTGTTTCCATGGAGAAGTGCGTGGCTCTGTGCCGCTCACATTTTACAGACTAGCTGGAAATTGAGGATGTGGGGATGGAAGGATGTCCTGCACCTGCAGGCTTCCCTGAGGATTAACTTATTGCCAGGGTCTAAGCTCTGCAACATCAACACGCCTCTGGATCCTTGACTGAACATCCTCTCTGGGAGTGGATGGTAAAATACTTTATTCAGCATGGAACAAAACAGGATCACCAGCCAACCTTGTACTACCTTTTTCTTTGCAAAACAGGAAGGGGAGAGGCGCCCTGCTGCCACCAGAGCCCTCTTTCCTTACCAGCCTTTTGAAATGGCCGTGGACTTGTGATGCTGCTGCCTTTTCAGCAGGACACATGTTGGGAGGAGCCTTATTTCTGCTGCAGTTTTATCCTTGGCTTGGGATCAGGGCAATTTATCTTTCTGTTTGTTTCATTATCAGTGCTGATTAAAAGGGAAAAAAGGATGTTTATGGTTTTCATTTGGGTTTTTTTTGTTTTGTTTTGTTTTTTAAATGCTTGTCAATTAGGAAGTTCATCTGGAGGGTGTTGGAGGATGTTCCTGTGAGGTGGCCCAGAGCCCCCGTGGAGAGGCGGAGACATGGGGGGACAGAGTGGGAAATGCTAGGGATGGCTTCCCCCTGCCCTCCTGGGGCCACTGTGAGAGGACTCTGATGCCCTGAGTGGTGCTCCTGCAGCATCTGGACCCAGCCTCTGGCATTGCTTATCCAAAAGAAACTACGGCTCCTGCGTGACTCAGCCCCGGTGATGATATCAGACCTTGTGGCAGATGCTGTTACTCAGAGTGTGTTCGGTTGTTGTTGTTGTTTTTTTTTACTCTTGTTTCTCTTTCTGTTGTAGGGTGGGTAAAAAAATGGGCCACGAGACAAACATAAACATTAGTCATAGCAAAACAGAGTCAGACCTGAGCAACCAGGCAGTGTGGCCAGGCGGAGCATCCCTGGCAGCACGTGAATTTCCACACTACATGGCTGGGGGGAGCAGCATTTGCCTCTGGAATGGGCTGGGGACACCCCAGGCTACTTCAGGATTTGATTAATCCAGCGTTGGCTTCAGCAGGAGCACCCTCGAGGTGGTTCAGGGGTGAAGGAGAAGCCAGCCTCGCCCCGTGTGCCACGGATGGAACTTCCTGAGAACAGGACTCGTGCTTTATTGTCACCCACGGCTCAGCCCCTTCCCGGCTTTGCTGGGGAATCCAGCACCTGGTGCCTCCAGCACTTCCTTCTCCCTGTCCCAGCAGCTCCAGCTGGAAAGGCACGCCAGGGTTTTGCCTGCCTGCAGGTCTTAACGGCTTTGAAACCCTCTCCAAGCCGCCCTATTCCCTAACGAAGGCACTGCTGGATGACAGAACGAAGCTTTGTTGGAAACAGGTTTTGCTCTGTGCAGCAGGAACCCCATTTTTTGGGATACCCGGTGCTGCAGGCAGAGCTAAGCTCTCTGCTAGAGGCTCTGGTATGGCATGTTGGGACACTGAGTGGCGTCGGTTTTCCCTCCAGAAGGAAAACTAAAGACTTCTAGGAGAGAGAACAAATGGCTTCCCAAGCTTCCACACGTTCTGGAGCGAGAGACCTGGCACAGGGGTGCTGGGCCCCCACCTTGGTCCCCATTGCCATGGAGAAGATGACACATGCTCCTGGTGAAGGTGACCCACCCCAAGATCAACAGTGAGGATCCACCCTGCCTTGCTCCTGCAATTCCCACACACCTTCCAGTTGCAGCTCACCAGCTTGTGAAGCTTTTTTTCCCCCTGCAATGCTTTTTTTACAAAAATATTTTTCTTTTATCAGCAGCATTTTATCCTTCTGTTCCCACATTTCCAGCTCCCAAGAGATTCCTCTTGGCCAGTCTTCCCTGCTCCCGTGCTGCCCTGGGTATCCCAGAACACCACTTCCAAGTGAGGACTTCCCAGTCCTCTCTCAGCTCTGTCTCCTCTGCCTCTCCCACGCAGAGAAGGCCAAACCTCAAAACCCATGGATAGATGTACAAATTGCGAACAATCCTCCCCTTTTGTGCATTGTTGCATCAGCCTGGAGCTCCTTGTGAAAGAGGAGTTCCTGGCAGGCAGCAGGCCCCTGACAGACATCATTTCCCCACCCAGGCATGAGGCCAGCGGGCACCCAGCAACACGCCAGACAGCCTTTCACAAGACCTGGGTGTCCTCAAGCTCTGCAAAGGGCCAAAACTCTTCTCTCCACTCAGGAATTGGGTCACTGGGCACTTTGTGCCCCTGGGATTTGGGTTGTGGCTGCTGGCAGAACGTGTGCTGGTGACATGGTGGGCACACAGCAGAGCCTCTGGGGACAGGCAGGGCTGCTGGGCCAGCGGGAAACGATAGGCTGTGCCGCTTGTCCTCGCTGGCACCGGGAAGGGAAGAGGCCTCTGCCATGGCAACGGGATTTGCCAGCTCAGCACATGGCATTCCTCAGCACGCCAGCGTCAGCGATGCTCCCACAGTGACGGGGACAAGGAGGAGCTGGTGGCATCGTGTGCTGCCTTCTCTCGTTTTGGGGGAAGAGGCTAACCTAGGTTTAAGCCTCAGTGACAACACAACTAATGCAAAAGGTGGTGATGCAGAAGCTGGAGCGTGAACCAGCCGGGAGGGAGGAGCTGAGAGTGCAAAGCCCGAAGTGAGAATCACAGCCACAGTTTGCACTGCTGGCTGTGACCTGTTTCATCAAAATGTAGAGCAGGGCTTTGCAGGCAGAGCTCTGTTGGCGGAGCAGAGAGATGGTGAGAGATAGCAGGTGGAGCTGGGGGACAGGAAGCGTGGCAGTGTCACGCGAGGTGAGCCCATCTCACCGCCTGTGCACGCGGGTGCTCGCTCACCGCTCTGCAGAGATGCGGGGTGAGGAGGGACTCAGAGCTGGAAAATGCTCCACGTGGTATTTGCTCTTTTGACTCTCCCACGCCAGAGTCACCCTCAGAGGGACAAACAACGAACCAAGTGGCCAGAGAGTCACTTCCCCAGACCGTGGCGTCTCGTATCAGCCCCCTTTCACTTTGAAGCCATGGCCCCTTGTCCTGACACTCCAGGCCCTTGCCCAAATCACCAGAGCTCTTCTCATTGACAAGGACCACAGTGGACATCAGTGGTGAGCAGAACTGCAGTGGAGCTGCTGCTCCAGCCGCTCCCAGTGCTGAGATGGGTGGGCAACATCTGGAGCCCTCCCAGACCCCTGAGAGCCTGCTGTGGCAGCAGCAGCCAGCACACTTCCCTTAGGGATGCTCATACTTTTTGGCATTTGGAGATGGGAGATAAAGCCTGCTGAATGACTGTGAGGGAGGGCCCTGCAGGACCAGGCATCGAAGGAGGCTCTGAACCAAATCTGTGCACAGCAGGTCTGGACCCCGAGTCACACCCTGTTCCTTTTCCTCCCCTCTCATGCTGGCTCAATGCCCACAGCGCTGCCCAGCCCCGTCCTGCCCCCGAAGGGCCCACTTTGGTGTCTCACCGACAGGGAGGGGTTGCCCTCGTCCTCCACGGTGACCACGAGGCTGTAGAAGCTCTGGCGCTCGCGGTCCGGCGGGGAGGGCCGGGTGGCGATCTCGCCGGTGACACGGTCCATGCGGAAGGTCAGGTCCTCGTTCCCTCGGGTGATGTAGTAGGAGAGGACGCTGTTGAGGCCGATGTCGCGGTCGGTGGCGCGCACCTGGGCCACCGCCGTGCCGCCGCCGACGTTCTGCGGGGCGAGCAGCAGAGGTACGCGGCGTAAATCCCACGAGCCTCATCACATATAAAATACCTAATTAACAATGGAATTCTAATATGGAGAGGCCACTGACGCGCTTGAGGCTCCAAACTCGCTGCCACAGCACCCAGCAGCTCAGCAGAAAGCTGCACATTATGTCTTATCTAGTCTGGCACAGCCTGGAAGAGCATAAAACCCACAGGGTGTGCGAAGGTGAAGGATGTGTAATAGACCCAGAGCTTGGCTAATTATTTTTGGATAGTCCCATTATGGGGAAAATCAAAACAGAAATTCTGTTCTTCAACCTGCTCTGAACATGTATTAAATAGATAAGAAAACCTTAACAGGGCAATATCCTTAATGCTAAGCTATAAATCACGAGCAGCAGTTCCTCACGGCTAAGTGGCACTGGCTATTACTCATATTTCATTTTTCATCACCAAATTGAGAATCCCCCCCTGCCTCAGTCCAGGAATTAAACTGTCAGGAAATAAGTTGTCTTTTCTCATGCCTGATTGTGTTTTATTGCTTAATTATCTAGCCCTTGCTGAGCTGCTTCCTGAAAGCCATTCTTATTCCGCACAGCACAGTCTCTTGTGTCACTTTGGTGGCATTTCCATGGGTGTGTAGCCACTTCTCCTTCCGGCTGGTCCCTGCAGCCTCACGGGCTTGAGTCGCTTTTTCCCAGCCCAAAACTAGGAGTACATCACCAGTCAGGGCTTTCAAGGGGTCACCAACCCTTGCATCACCCAAGGTGAGGATGGCAAGGGGCCGCCGATCCTTAAATGACCCAAGGGTGAGGTTTGCAAGGGGACGCCGACCATCAAATGACCAGAGATGAGGTTTGCATGGGGTCAGCTAACGCTCAAACGACCCAAGGTGATGCTTGCAAGGGACAATCCGCTGTCCCCACTTGCCTTGGCGTCAGGCCTGTCCCTGGGAGGATGGAAGGAGAGGAGCTGGGTGCTCACCTCGCTGACGCTCACGTTGTAGCCGAAGGGGCTGTCGATGACAGGGGGGTTGTCATTGACATCCAGGATATTCACTCGTAGAATGTGCTCCTTCCTCCGGGGAGGAACGCCGCCATCCGATGCTTGGATCTGCGGTGGGGGGGGGGGGGGGGG